AGTTTCGCTGTGCCCTCTGTTCGTACTGCACCTTCAGCAACACCAGCCTCTTCTTCCACAAGCGTAAGATTCATGGCTACGTTCCTGGTGACAAGGACTGGCTGGAAAACTATGCCAGCAAGGAGTTGGAGATCAGTTCGTCTGAGGCACTCTTCAGCTACGAGCTTGGCACAGCCCTGAATGTGGATGCCAGTTCCCCCCTTGCTGGCAAGGAGCAGTGGGCAAGGGCGAAGCCATCGCAGCTGGAGTCCCAGGGAGAAGAGGGCTGCCAGCAAGTGTTTGTGGTACCTCTCCTTGGGCAGGATCCTGCTCCACGAGAGAGCAGTGGTGAGGCAGAGAGAGGTGTGAGCGAGGGGGAGCAGAGCTGTCCGACTGCTGGCAATGCCCTGGAAGATGACTGCGTGCAAGGAGACACTGCCACAGGCTCAGCTGAGCTCAGTGTTTCTCAGGATGTGGCAGAGAGCTGCACCTTGCACTTGGAAGCACTGAATGTCTCATCTGACCACCTCCTAGTGCACTTGACTGGAGATGCCTGTGTGACACAGCCAGAGAGCATGGAAATGATGTCCTGCAAGGAGCCTTCCACAGCCTTTGAGATGCTGGGTTCCCAGGATGACCTTGTCTTGGAGAACAGTGGCAATACACTTGAAGAAACCCCAGACTTTGAAGAAGAGGAAGTAGATGTACGGGAAGATGATGTGGTGAGACTGAAGCACAGTGTAGTGGCAGGAGACAGCCAGGGAAAAGACACTCTAAGGCAGGCAGTGGACCACCTTGAGAGGTCATGCTCAGACCACCACAAGCTGGTGGCAGACACTGAGGTGAGAGGGACCAGCCAAGCCAAGCTGCCAGAGGCCTGGCTCAGTGTGCTGAAGACACCTGAGCAAGGCCACCCACCTGTCCCAGAGGAGGTGGTCACCTCAAATGGCAATGCCAGGGGTGGCTCAGAGTCCGTGCTGAAGGCTCTCCGGAAGCAGGACAAGGAGCAGGCAGAGACGCTGGTGCTGGAGGGCAGGGTGCAGATGCTGGTGGTGCAGTCGGAGAGCCAGGTCTTTAAGTGTGAGAAGTGCTCTTACATTACGCGGAAGGAGAAGTCCATGTCTCTGCACTCCAAAGCCAGCTGCCAGAGACGCCGGGCCCCGCTTGTGTGTCACGAGTGCGGCGCCAGCTTTAAGCAGCAACGGGGGCTCAACACTCACCTCCTCAAGAAGTGCCCAGTTCTCCTGAAGAACAACAAGATCCTCAAACCAGCCAGCCAGGAGTCACCTGGATTGTGCCAATCTGCTGACCAGCCTGGTGATAATGGTACAGAAACAGGGGAGAGTGAGAAGGGACACTCAGAGGAGTTCGGGCATGCTGAGAGCCCTTGGGAAGCTGAACTGCTGCCTGATAAAAAACAGGCAGAAGGCAGTCCTTTGGCTGGAGAACAGGCATCAGGCTGTCTTGCCCCTGAGAAATCCCTGCCGGGTGACAGCATAAAGGTAGCAGAAGAGCCTCCCCAGCAAGGGGATGGACCTGAGCCAGATGGAGCTGCTGATCCCTCCCAGCCTGGGAAACCCTTAGAGAAATACCGGCTGGAGGGAGGGAAGCTGCACTGCAACGCCTGCTCCTTCGTGTGCTCCCGTGTCTCCACCATCACCTCCCACGTGGAGGATGGCTGCCGGAACCTGGAGCAGTTCTGGTGCTCCCTGTGTCCTGAGGCCTTCCGCTCCCAGCGGGCCCTCAAAAGCCACTGTGCTGAGAAGCACATCATGCATCCCAAGGAGGACAGATCCCAAAGCACCGAGCTCCCTGAGGGGGACCTAGCCAGTGTTGAAACAGGCCAGCCCAGTAAGCTCCCACTGGATGCGGCCCCTTCAAAAGCCACCCTGCCCAAGAGGAGGCGTTTCTCCTGTCCCAACTGCCCTTTCACCTGCCACCAGGAACGGGCCATGAAGACGCACAAGAAGAGGGGCTGCGTGACCCTGGGTGAGTTCCGCTGTGCCTCCTGCCCCTTTACTTCCAAGGTGGCTAAAGCCCTGCAGCTGCACCGCAGGCTGCACCGCAAGCACTACAGCAAGCGACCGCAGCTGCAGTGCCGCCAGTGCGAGTTCACCTGCAAGCAGGCCCGCTGCCTGCGGCAGCACGTCCGCATCAAGCACGAGGGGGTGAAGCCGCACAAGTGCCGCTACTGCGAGTTCAGCACCACGCGGCGCTACCGCCTCGAGGCCCACCAGTCCCTGCACACCGGCGTGGGGCGCATCGCCTGCGGCATCTGCAGCCAGACCTTCGGCACCAACTCCAAGCTGCGCATCCACCGCCTGCGGGTGCACGAGAAGACACCCACCCACTTCTGCCCGCTCTGCGACTACAGCAGCTACCTGCAGAATGACATCACCCGCCACGTCAACAGCTGCCACCATGGCGAGCTCAACTTCGCCTGCTCCCGCTGTGAGGCTCGCTTCAGCTCCGAGACGGCCCTCAAGCAGCATGTCCTGCGGCGGCACGAGGAGAAGGTGTCCTATGGCTGTCCACGCTGTGGCTTCATGTGTCACAGCGAGGCCACGCTCAAGTGCCACGTGCAGAAGCAGCACCCGCACCTCGAGTGCAGCACCTGCAAGGAGACTTTTGCCACCCGGGAGGCACTGGAGGAGCACAAGACGCAGCATTTCAGCCACCGCTGTGAGCTGTGCAGCTTTGCAGCCAAGGAGCGGCAGCAGCTGGTGCGGCATTATATGGAGAGCCATGAGCCAGCCTCCCCCCAGGACAAACCCCTGCACTGCCCCTTCTGCGACTTCACCTGCCGCCACCAGCTTGTCTTTGACCAGCACATGAAGGGCCACGGGGGCACCCGCTTGTACAAGTGCTCGGACTGCGAATACACCACCAAGAACAGGCAGAAGATCACGTGGCACATCCGCATCCACACGGGTGAGAAGCCCTACAAGTGCCACCTCTGTAAATATGCCTGCGCCGACCCCTCACGTCTCAAGGTGAGAGCTCTGCTTCGGAATGTATCCTACTGTATCTACATGACTAGAGGGGCATCCAGACATGGGGATTTGGGGAAGAAGTTCCCAAGGGGAGGTTTTATCCTCTGTCCTCTTCAGTGGCTCACACAATAGTAAGAAGCGAGTGGATAAAACTTGTATAAAAATATGTTTCTTCCCTGCTGTTGCGGTTTAAAGAGAAGGGGGATTTGTAACAAAGCAAGAAGGCAGGCAGCTGTCCAAGTTCACTCCTTTTCCTGATGACATCTCTGTCTTTCTCTGGGTGCATCCTTGCACCACTTGAAGCCAAGTTAGGCTGCTTGCTGGCTTTAGCATGCTCTGTGATGCCAGTTAGACATGGTCCAGTAAAACCTCAGCTTCCTTGCAAGCAGATCATGATCTTGCTATATATGATTAGCATCCTAATGCGTGGTAAAGGGCCTTCCCTAGAACAGGAAGGCCAGGCATGGGGCGATGGAGGGAAAATAGTCTGATTTTGCTAAAATAAATACTGACTTTTTTAATGATCAGGCTGAGCTGGAGCCCCCTGGGGCCACCTGGGTGAGGCTGTGCTCAACTCAGGGCTAGCTCGAGTTGGGTTTTAACCCAGACTTTGTCTTAAATAACAAACTGGGGAGCAAAGCCTGTGCCATCCACAGGCTGGGACAGAGCAGCTCAGCAGTATGGGCTTCTCATCCCAATCCTGCTATGGATCGCCCTTGCCCATAGCCTGACAGGCAAGCCCACAGCCCTCCTTGCCCCATGCAGTTGGAGATGCCAGAGCTGTCTTTGAGCCCTTCACTGGCATCCCAGAGCCCTACACATTCCCAGGGCAGCGGATGTGGTCTCATCCTGACCCCACCCTCCTGCCCTGTGCCCAGTATCACATGCGGATCCACAAGGAAGAGCGGAAATATCTCTGCCCCGACTGTGGCTACAAGTGCAAGTGGGTGAACCAGCTCAAGTACCACATGACGAAGCACACGGGTGAGTGCTGCTAATGGGGACAGGCCGTGGAGCACCAGGGAGGGTGTTGGGGCTGCAGGGACCCCAGTTCCCTGCTTCTTTTGCTACCAGTGGCCCAGCTGGAGGCAGGGGAGGACCCCCAACATTTGGAGGTCAGCACATTCTCCTATGCCAGTGGGCTGGGGACAGTGCCCTCAGGTGGGAGGGAAGTTGGAGTGGTGCAGACCCCAGTCACTATTTGGTGCCTTGGAAAGGGGAAGTCTTGGTGTGCCTGCTGACACAGTGGGGTGTAGGGCAAAGTCCCTGGGAACTGATGCTGTATTGCGGGGAGAGTGAGACCCGTGGAATGGAGAGCACTGTGCCCCCATTCCGGTGCCATCCCTTTCCCTGTCACCACAGGCCTGAAGCCATACCGCTGTGATGAGTGCGAGTACTGCACCAACCGTGCGGATGCCCTGCGGGTTCACAAGGAGACACGGCACCAGGAGGCCCGTTCCTTCATCTGTGAGCAGTGTGGCAAGGCCTTCAAGACCCGCTTCCTCCTCAAGACCCACCTGAAGAAGCACAGTGAGGAGAAGCCCTATGTTTGCAATGCCTGCGGGCGAGCTTTCCGCTGGGCGGCCGGCCTGCGCCACCACTACCTGACCCACACCAACGAGCACCCCTTCTTCTGCCGCTACTGCCCCTACAAGGCCAAGCAGAAGTTCCAGGTCATCAAACACATCCAGCGGCATCACCCTGAGCATGGGGCTGTTGACCCAAGCCAGGGGGTGGGAAAGGACCCCAGCACACACACTGTCCACCTTCATGCTGTGCAGAGGGAAACACAGGCCAAGGGGCTGCCCAGGATGGAGCAGGAAGGAGGATGCCCTGTGGAGAAGGATGGCACATTGCTGTGAGGCTGAGTCCTGACTGCTTTAAGGCGCTGGTGGCACAGGCCTTCTGCAGAGATGTATGTGTGTGTATAGGCATATATGTATATGGGTTGTAAAATATGTGACTGTATAAAAGGAATCACTCAGCTCCTTTTAATATTGTTTCTTGGGGCTGTTTGGAACCCTGTATGAACAGTGGGCCAGGTGCCCACAGAGGAAGAGCACAAGCACAAGCCCAGCTCCCTGTCTCTCCCCAGCACCACTGCACCCAGACCTGAGCTTGTCTGTCACTGAACAATTTATTAGGTTGCTTACCGAGAAAGGATGGGACAAGGGTTAATCTGGGGTTGTAGGGGCCAGAGGCTGTAATGGGGCTCTACAAGATCAGGGGCAGTGAGGACCAACTCCTCTCACAGCTCTGCCCAGCCTCGGGGTTTGCTTGGCTCCAGCCTTGCTCCCCTGCCTGGTGGGGGACCAGCCCCTGCAGCAAAGCCAGGCCATGCACCATCTCTCCTCCTCCCCATGGCCAAGCTGTGACCTTAGGCCAGGGCAGGGTGCCTGGGGGGATTCAGGGAGCTGCACCAACATAGACCTCATGCTTAGGCATGGGGGACAGCATCCCGAACCTGGAAAGGGCAGGTCAGTGCTTTTTCCCAGTCCTCAGAGGCTACTGCAAAGGGGGTCACAGCAGCAACAACACAGGGATGACACGAAACAGCTCAACAAGAGGGCAAGGTGGTTGGCTCTGCGGCCCCAGCCACTCAGGGCCGCCTGTATGGCTTCCATCTGGGTGCTGCTCACCCCGTGAGCTCAGTCCTGTTCGGGGTCAGGTGGCTCGGTGATGCGGATATGGACAAAGAGAGAAGAGGGTGGGATGCTCGTGCCGTCCTTGGAGAGGAGATGGATGTGGCGGTATCCTGCAGGGGGTACAGCAAGGCTGTGGCTGACTGCAACCACATCTCCATCTATAGCACCCAGCTGAGCCCCAGACACACTTACGGGGCTGTGCTGGGCCCCCAAAACCACTGAGCAGCAGCCACTCACCAGGTTTGATGTTGGCAAAGGCTAGGGTGAACTGGCCCACAAAATCATTCCTGGAAGTCTTGTCATAATCCTCCACCACAAAGCGGACCAGGGCCAGCTCAGGCACATGGAGCTGGAACTGTAGTGTCTCATCCCAGCGGGGGTTAAACCCTGGGAAGGGAGAGTGGGTGCTGGGAGGGTGAGGGAGGGCAGGGGAGGTGCCTGGGCACAGCAGGGTCCCTGGTACCACTGTGGGGCTCACCATTGTTCTCAATGTACTTTGTCTCCTGGTGTGCCTGGTCCGCAGGGACCCCATGGATCTCCACGCGCACAAGTGGGTCGATGATGGCTCCATCCTTGCTGTTGGCCACTTTGGGGAGCTGCTGCCCGCTGATCACCTGCAGGTAGGGGCATGGACCCCATGAGCTGGGGAGCAGCCAAACCGATCTATTGTGAGGCTACTCGGCTCCAGCACACTGCCCAACAGTCCCCATCTGGCTGGGACTGACAAGAGCCCCAGGACACTGTCACAGCTTCCCTGGGATCTCTCCTCAGCCCTGTACCTGGATCGTCAGGGTGATGGGGCCAGGGCCTTCCCGGCTGCTGGGGTCACTGGGGTTGAAGAGAGTCTCCTCATCCCTCATGAAGGGTGGTTTGAGCACGTAGCCACAGCAGCCGTTCTGGCTGAAGAGGCCATCGCACAGGTCCATCTCCGTGCCGGCTGTCTGGAAGTTCAGGGCCACTGCAGGGAGGTGGTGGGGAAGAGGGTTCAGAGCAGCTTGGAGACACCATGCCCTGCTTAGAGCTGAGAACCAGCCTGTCCCCGTAGCCAGAGAGATGCGAGGCTGCACAGGGGGATAAGGCACCAATGCCTGGATACCCCCAGACTCCCCAGAGCAGAGCAAAAGCTGGCAGCCAGACCTGGCTCCAGCTGGGGTTGTAGCTGGCACTAACACAGGTGTCGATGGTGGCATTTGGCACAGGACTTGCAGTATCTCCCCAGCCCACAGCCCTGATGCCCCCCAGCCATACCGATCTGGCACCCAGCGTTCCACATCTCCTGGGGGCTGTAGTTGGAGGAATCAGTCCGCATCCCACTGGGGTAGATGCGTGTCAGCTGCCAGGCATTGTGGCGGACAAACTCATTTCCTAGGGATAGGAAATTCCTAGAGCATGAGGGTTACTCATGAGGTCATTTCCTGGCCTGCAGAGCCACCTACCACATGTGCTGCCCGTCCATCTGTCCATCCATTCATCACCCATTCATCTACTCATCCATTCATACTTTCATTCATCCTTTTATCCATCTAACCACCCATCCCCTTATCTATCTATCCATCCATCCATCCATCCACCCACCTACCCACCCACCAATTTTCATCCCTCTCCCCTCTCAGGAATCCAGGTGTCCTGCTTTGTTTTCTAAGCCAATAACCCCCCACCATCACTTACCCGAGCCAAACCCCACAGTACAGCCCAACTGGACCCCCTTTACCCCACACCACACCCCTGATGTCTGGAGGTTTTAGCTCTACACCCGAGGAAGCCACCTGCCCCCTCCACCCTACCCCAGTCCCCCAGTTCCACTGCCCCCTTCGTCTCACCTGCATCCCGGATGAGCTTCCTGGCCTTGGCCTCAGAGAGGGAGGAGATCTCAGAGGGCCGGGAATGACTGCGGGCCTCTTGGAAGCCCCGGAAGGACACATTCTTGCAGTAGATGACGCAGTCAGACAATGCTTGTGCCAGGGTCTCCTTGTCCTTCTGCAAGGCAGAGCCGTGTTGGGTGATGGGAGCATCATCCACCAGCACTCACCCAGGCCATGGGCTGTAGAGCCAGGACATTCAAGAGCAGCCAGGGGTGTGCTGGGATGTGGCAGTATCCCCACCCATGAGCAGCCTTCCTGCTAGGAACGGAGCAATGAGGGGACCCCCAACATGGTGCCACCACAGCAAAGAGGTGGCTGGCATAGCCAGAGGCAGAAAACGCTGTTCCCCCTGCCTGTTGATCTGTCTCTGCCGTCTCTGTCTCTCCTCCAGGCACTAGAATTCCACTACAGCCCTAAGCTATGTCCATGGGCTCAGCACTCCCAGCCTGGGTCACCCACCTTTGCCCTCCGCCTCTCTTCCTCTGCCTCTGCCCCATTGTCGTCGTCAGACACATCAGGCACCTCATCCCCTGGCCCGTCCAGCGTGTCCTCCAGCCGCCCGATCTTCTTTCCCTTCAGCAGGATCTTGTGCTTCAGCTCCTGTGGGGTTGGGAATAGAGAGGCACTTTAGTGTGCCCAGCTCCTCCATGGGGCTTGTTTTCCCCTGGGATCCTGCACTACTGAGGGCCAGCACCACTAGCTCCCTTCAGCACCCAGGAGGGGATGGCGTAGGAGGGTTCTGCCCTTCTGTCTGACTCTGCAGGGCATGGGGAGACAACTTTGGGGACAGCTTTGGCACCTCTGTGAACACAGGGTCATCACATGCTCCAGTAGAACAGAATGATGCTGGAACAGAGGTGGCCTGTTCTCTGAACAGCAGAACCACCTCCTCGCTCCAGTCCCAGACAGGACAGCAATGCCCAGCACAGCTGTGCTCTGTCCCTACCTCTGGGGATGGCAGATGGCTGGGGACATGCCCGTCGATGGTGGTGGTGAGGAGCTGTTCCCCCAGGATGTCCTTGAGCTGCTGTGCCAGGACCTCCTGCTGCTCCATGCTGCAGTGGTTCTCCAGGGACAGGATCACCGGGTAGTCCGAGGCCTGGGGAGCAACGTGCACAGCTGGAGATCATCCTTGGTGGGGTTGGGGAGCTCTCACAAGCTCCATTTGTCACCAGTGCCAGAATGGAGCTCCTTGAGTCTTCTTGTTTCCCGCCTCAAGATCCTCTTACCCCTCCAATCCCCCATTACCCTACATATCCCATTTCAATTCCGCATCCCCGAGGCCCCATCTCACCCCTGCACCCCCAAGAGACCATCTGCATGAGCCCTCATCCCCTGGCACAGCACAGCACAGGCTGTAGGTCAGACACCCCAGTGCTGTCCCCTGGAAAGTGACACAGCCACCCTCCTCTCCCGCAGAGTGAACAGTCCTGCTGCATCACCAGCTGTGTGAACCACAGCACTCATCCCCCTCCAGGGACCTATCACTACCCCATGGGACAATTGCAGCCACATCCCCGCTCACACCAAGGGCCACCCACAACCTCCAGCACCTGGGGAAGAGTAGTGCCTTACCTTGAAAGCGTACTTCCCCAGGGTGCTCACTACCTCCCGGAAGGGGATCTTGGAGGTGAAGGTGTGGCCGTGGTACACCATGGGCTCCCCATTCGGCCCGTCCCAGCAATCCACTTCCAGGCACCGGCAGCCCCGTTTCAGAGCCCTGGGGGTGGGTTGTCACCTCTGGGACCCCGCACATGGCCAGGGCACCAGTTCCCTGCCCTCCCCTCTGCTCGTGAGTGTCACCACTATAGGGACCAGGGGACACCCATCCAGGGTGTGGATGCTGCTGCATGCAGGGCAGGTAGAACTGGGCTCAGTATTCCCCTTGCTGAGCACTACGTGGCATGGCCAGAGGAGAGCTGGACCACAGAGGAGCAAAGGAGCTTCTGGGTTTGCCCCATGTTGCTGCCCAGGGCACAGCACTGGGACAGGAGGGTGCTGGAAGGCAGCTGGAAGGGAGCAGCCCCTTTACCTGATGTAGCCCTCGATGCTGCTCTGACCCCGCAGCTGATCCTCTATCAGGTAGGTGTTGTGGGAGGAGGAGATGAAGTAGTGGCAGAGTGGCTGGTTCATGTCCTGCCACAGCGCCCGGTGCTGGGGGTTGAAGATGGAGCCCTCCGGAGAGCAGAGGTACATGAGGAACCCATCAGCACTCAACACATGGCGAACCCGGGCTGCAGGTGGAAGGGGAGGCTCAGTGACAGCCAGGGACATGGAAGAGACAGGGCAGGGCAAACAGGGCTGCTGGTGGCTCCTGGAATCTCCAACCTGGTCAGCACAGCTGCTGCCAGAGGCTGGGTCACAGGAAGAGATGATCCAGGGCAGTAACCTTGGAAAGGCAGGACCCCAAAGCTGGAGTTTGCACACTATGGCTGGTCAACCTTCTACACCAAAATGGTCCAGGAATGAACCAAATAAAGTGGAATTGCACCCAGATCACACCATCGTAAGTCTTCCCCCTGTGTCCTCCCTGTAGCAGAATGGGGCTGGGAGTGCTCCTGCCATAGGACTGAGTCTCAGACCTCTCCCTGCCCTTGTGCAGAGCACAGCAAATGTCAGAGCCAGCTCTCACCTGTCTCTGATGGTTCATACTTGTCAATGAGCTCCATGGCCATCTCCTCTGTGCCCTCATCCTCCAGCTGCTCCTGCCGCAGGAAATCCACCAGCTCCAGCAGCGTCAGCTTCTTTCCATCCTCAGAGAATTCTTGAAAGAGGCTCAGCACCTCCTCACGCTGCGTGAGAGCCTTGTAGAAGAGCACAAACTCCTCCCCTTCCAGTGTCCCAGACTCTGATTTATCGGCATCCTGCAAGGAAGCTCCCTCAGCACCCGAATGGGGCAAAATGGGGTGTCTTGGCCACCCAAGGTGCTGGGGGGGATTCTCCCAAACAGAGGGCAGAGAGACTCTACACCAGTGGCAGTGGCAGGCACCGATCAATGGATGGATGGGGAGATGGAGGGCTGGTTGGGTGGACTGATAGGTGGATGGATCCATGGATGAGTCCATAGATGGGTCTATGGACAAACAGGCGGAAGGAGGGAGGGAGGGATAAAAAGTCAGACAGCTGGTTTGCTGGGTAGACAAATAAGCAACTGGATGGACAAATGAATGGTAGGAAGAGCTGCCTTGGCTGGTTGGTTTAACAGAAAAATGAACAAGTGCATGTTTGTGTGGGTAAACAGGTAGTTGGGTGAACAAATGGATGGATGGATAGATGAATGGATGGATGGACAAAATAAAGTGACCATAGCCTTTTGCAAGGAGGTGTTGTGCAGCTTGTTCCAGCCCCTACAGCCCCTCCAGGCTCTTGGGTGCAGTGCTTACCTGGAAAAGCCGCAGGGCATGATCCTCATTCATGTCCACATTCATCATCTTGAGGAGACGCTGTACCTCCTTGAAGTTCATGCGTCCATCCTTATTCTTGTCAGCTTTCTGAAACCAGTCACGAATCCACGTGAGAGAAATCAGGGCAAATGTTAAGGGAAAGGACCTTGGCTATGACAGATGGAGCTGGGGAGCATCAGAGGGCCTCTTTTCCTTTTTCTGTGTCCTGCACTGATGCAGACAGTGAGACTCAGAACAGCTACACACATGCTGGGACAAGGCTGAATATGCAGGGCCTGGGGAATGATCTGCAGCAGGGGAATGACTGGTTAGGGGGAGGCAGAGTGATGCTTGCAGGAAGGATATTGGTCTATCTTCTCCCTTTGGTCCATGGTGGTGGCTACCTCAATGAGCTGACGCAGGCCCTGGACCCAGCACTGCGCCTCCTCAGCCGAGCCAGCAATGAGGTCCAGGTTGCCACGACGGCCATAGAAGACAATGGTGAAGCAGCGCTCAGGGGGGAACTCCTCGGCCAGGCTCTGCAGCACCTCTGACTGGTGCCCTTCCCGCACCGTCTCCACATCGCTGATGGAGACTGGGGCAGAGGGAGGGGATGCCTGTCTGTGGGGGACAAGGACCACAGGGCAAGGGGCACTGCCCACAGACACCTATTCTTCCAGCCATCCCTCCTTCCACTCATCCATCCACTCATCCACCCACTGAGCTACTCATCCATCCATTAACCATCGAGCTATCCAGTCAATAACTGCCATTAGCCCCTCTGTCTGTCTACTCCTGCACTGGCATTCCAGAGGTTCCACTTCAACCAGCTGCAATTTCTACTCATCCCTTTTGACCCATGAATCCTGCTGGAGGCAGGATGTTTCAAGGAGAGGTGTGGGTGAGAAGAGACCACATATGCATGCATAGCCTTTCTTGAACACCCCAGCACTCTTAGCAAGGATGGTTTCAAGAATCTCCATACCTTCACATTCCTGTAAACCCTACTAATGGCCCTGTGGCCAACACACAGAAGCCAGTACTCACAGGCAGACTCCGTTTTGCCTGTCCTCTTCGACTGGTACCAGATGGTCATGCAGTCATCCTGCAGCTTGAAGAAACGCTGCTTCTTCCAGCTCTTGGACTTGACTTTGCGCATCAGGGTCCCTTGCTGCATCTGCTCTAGTGTGTCTGTGAGCTGGATGCCTGGGGGCAGCATGGGCTGCATCACTAAAAGTGGGGCTATCCAGGCACTGTGCCCTGATATTTTGCTTCATCTTGCCTCTGGACCCCCATGTGGTCCCTTGATCTGTGAGGGAGGAGGGGTGGACCCCAGATAAACTCCCTTCACCACAAGATGGGCAGAAGGTAGTTCCCCATTAATCCTTCCCATCCACCCTTGGCATTGCCAAGCCCAAATCCCAGTGGCCATGGTGAGATAGGTATGCTCCTGAGCGTACCAAGGTAAACTCAACCCACAGGTCAGATTTGCCCTGGCATAAGTACGGATGGCCCAATGCCCTGCCCCGCCCCTCGCCTCCACCGCAGCACTCACGGGCGTTGCACAGCAGCGATGCCATGGCTCTGCGTTCTCCACGCTGACAGCTGCTGAGGAGGGAAGAGAGAAGGTGGCTGGGAGGAGCAGGGACAGTCTCCCCCACTGTGCCCAAGTCCTGCCGAGGGGGGTCCGGCCGTACCCATGTGTGTGCAAGGTGTGTGTGCCCCTGCCCGTGTGTGAGCGCACCTGCGCCTGTCTCCTGCTGGATCATTGCTTTCCTTAAGTGTCGAGTTCACCCCGCCGTACTCATGAAATATTAATCTCTGTTACTGGCAAGCCAGAGCTCAAAAGGTGTTGGTGGAAAACAGAAAAACTTGTGAGAGCAGACGCTCCACAGCCCAGCAAGTACCAGAGCCCTACTGCTCCCAGGGAAGAAGTGGCCCCTAGAGCCAGGAAAAACTGCTCTGGGGGTGCCCAAGAACAGCCCCCACCACCTAGGACATGACCCCAACCAGCAGATTTGAAAGTAAGGGAGAGGCACAGCCGTGATAGCAAGGAAGGGGGCACAGAGGAATGACCCTCAGCTCCTGCAGCCTCTTGTCCCCAGGAAATACCAGCACCCTGGGCTGTGACTGCACCCACAGCTGTACGGGAAGCGCACTGCGGTGAGTGGGACTATAAATACCATGGAACAATATGGCTTTGATTAGGCAGTTGATACTTTAATTAGACTGACAAACTGCTGGATGTGCCTGTCACCCAGGTGCTGGAGTTGGGCCCTCGAGGAGTGGATGCTGCAGCTAGTGGGCTGTGATTTGGATGCAGGAGGTCCCTGGGGACAAGGGCTCTGTGCCAGGATGCAGGGGTGGCAGCCGTCGCCCAGGCCCCTGACTCAGCACAGGCACCAGTGGTGTGGGGCTAGGAATAGCTGGTGCCGTCAGCCTGCAGGCAGCTGCCAAGCCCAAGCCCTTGTGGGCTCCGGGGCCAGACGGCAGCCATCCCCTGCTCAGTGTCAGGACAGCAGAGCAGATCCCCAGCACAGGGACCTACGCCCCACTCCTGGGGGACACACTAGCTGTGGGGCTGGCAGTGGCTGTTTGGTTGTCACCAGGGCACAAGAGGACTGTCTGTCTACACTCTTGGGGACCTCAGACATTGCTGGAGACATGAAGCAGCTGGGGTGCCATCCCAACAGTGCCCAGTGGTGGGGCTGTGTGTGCCCACCACTGGCCCTTCTTGCAGGGCTCAGACTGCAAGGACTTGCTGCAGTGCCCACGTTCCCCCCATCCGATGTGCTGGGGGGCACTGACCCACTGACCCAGGACTTGGAGTGCCTGCACCCACAAATGGGGGGATGGTATCATGCTCCTCTTGTGCCCTGCAGAGTAGATGTCCTGATGCTGTCTAGCACAGCTAGAGCCCCACACCCAGCCCTCTCCTGGAACGCTCTCAGCCTCTGCACCCCGTGGCCTGCAGGGAGTCAGGGGGAACAACCTCGGTCACCCATCTGCCTGCACCCTCCTGTCTCCTGGCAGCACCCAGTCGAGCACAGCCACCTTTGCAGAGCCTCAGCTCCAGGTGCCCACCTGCCCTGCAGTCCCTGTGCTGCAGCAGGAGAGGGAGAGGGGGATGTTTTGGGGAAGCTGGGGTGGAGGGAGAGACACTGAGGCTGGAGAAGCAGAGAGAGATGCTGGACTGGAACAGAGATGGGCTCAGTGCCACCAACAGGTCTATCTTCTTTGCACATGCATGTGTACAAGGTGGCAGCATGCAAGGGAGCAGCTTGCAGCCTTCAGGCCCATAACCATGAAGAGTTTGGAGATAAACTGCTCTTATCCTCTTATCCCTTCCAGGCTCCAGGCACAGTCTAAGCATGCCCAGTCCCAACCAGGGAGCAGGGCCTTCCCCACACATGCAGCAAAGAAGTGATGAACCCTTCCAGCATAAGGAACGTGGATGCACAGACACAACTGTTCTACTCTTTCCCGTCGTGTGAGAGATGCCCCAAGCCTGGCATAGCCTGGCCCCATGCAGGCCCCCTTGCCCCAGTCTGAGTTACACTATCGAGCCAAGCGGGACAGGAGCCAGGGTACGGAGAAACCCAATCCGAGAGTTTCCTGCAGGGCGGCTGCCTGCTGCCAGAAACAGCCCCAGCTACCCCAGCACACGCTGTGCCACCGCAGCTTTTCTCCTGCTGGTGACAGGCCGTAGCAGAGCTGGAGGCACAGTGGGTCTGAGCGCCCTCCGGCCACCCCAGTGCGGAGTCCCCTGGCAGAATTAAATTGTCCCCCTGGCCACCACAGGGGTGGCCTTGCCAGAGCAGGGAGAAATGCTCCCTCGCTCCAAGCACCCCACACACCTTGCTGCCTCAGTGTGCCCACAGACTGCCCGTGTTCTGAGGCTTTGCTCAGCCCACCCGCTCCGGGACACGCCGCAGCACAGGTGCTCGGAGCCTGACCCACGCAGAGGAACCAGCCGGCAGCTGACGGGTCAGAGGGGCTGGGAGGCGAGAGGAGGGACGGATAAGGGGCTTCGGGGTGGGGCAGCAAACTCCAGGGGATTCAGGGCTCAGGGAGACAAATCACACTTTAAGGCAAAGGAGATAAAACCGCCGGCACTTCTGCCGCCCCGCGCTACCCCGACCGTGCAGCCGTTTCTGGGGCAGAGCAGCCCGAGCCTGGGGGTCCCAGAGCCTGGGGGTCGCAGCCCCGTACCCATCGCCCCCTCCCTCCGCAGGACGCCCGGCTCCCGCGCGGAGGACCGGGCGCCAGCCCCGTACCCGCTCTCCGGTGCTGCTTCCGCTCGCGCGGTGCTTCACCGCCGGCGGCCGCACGGGGCCGGGGCTGCCCGGGCTGCCCGCCCCCCTTGGCAGCGCCTGGCGGCGAGTCTGCTCCGGCCCCCCCGCCCCCGCGGGACGCCCCCGGCCCCCGCACGCCCCGCAGCCGTCGCCTCTCAAGGTCGCTTCGGATTAAGGTCACGCCGCTTCTGAGGAGGACGGGGGGCGGGTACAGAGGCAGTGGTGTGGCCGGCAGGGGTGGGAGCACCCTGCAGTGCCCGCCGTTTGGGGTCGACCCCCCATTCCCATCCTCCGACACAGGCTATCCGTCCCCAGGCCCGCTTGCACCCAGCACAGCCCGATCTCCCCCTCCACAGCGCGTCCTCACTGTGTTCCTGTCCTTTCCAGGACACGATGGTCCACGGGCGCTACCGGAACCCTCCTGCTGGGAGGGATGTAGAACTGAAAAAGCAAGGCGTAGTTTGAGCATCCTGGGGTAAAAATCCCCATGAGGATAACAAGCAGGGGCAGCCTTGGGGCGGGGCAGGTCAAGCTGGGGGCAAGGGGTGCAGAGCAGAGACTAAACTTTCGGGAAGGCAATGCTGTAACAGACCTGGACCCTGGGTGAGTAGCAGCACTTGCAAACACGCTGCAGGAAGGCAGCGAGTGCTCTCTCCCTGGCAGGTTCACTGCCCTCCTGCAGAACAAAACAGAATCCCCCCCCCCCCAAAACCCCCCCACATTACCTGCTCCAGGAGAGATGGGGTGCTACAGGGATGTAGTCAACTCCCACTGGGAAAGGCCACTCTTCCCAATCACACCCCCAAGCTGGCACAACCCCCGCCTTCCTCCCACCTGCAATAAATCCCCACTCACCACTTGCCCTCCCTGAGAGACCAGACCAGGAGGAATCCGTGCTGGCTGGGGTTTTATTATTTATTAATCTGAACTTAAAAAAACAAACAAACAAAAACCAATCAACCAAACAGAAGCATTTTAACACTCTGTCAAGGTCAGGGTGAAAAGGAGGGAAAAGAAGGCAATGGTTATAAAACAGGAACCCGAGGGCAAGGAAGAGGCCGTGCTCTGCCCTTGTTATGCAAGGCTGTGAGAGGAGAAGGGAAATGATGGGATTTAAGACACTGTTGGCACGACACTGCAGATGATCAGCAAAATGGGCTACTCGAGGAGGGGGGAGAAATTAAGTAGCTGCCCAGGCTTGCCTGTAGCCAAGAGCAGGCAGAGCAGGCTCTGCTGCAGCGGAGCCCAGGAGCTCCAGGGCTGCTTCTGAGAGCCCTCTGCAGCTGCATTAACCCCTCGGCACAGGGAAGGCAGGTAAGCGGCTGCTGGTCCAGTTTAATTGCGGTGGGGCCAAGGCAGATGCCAAGGCGGGTTTGAAAGCTGAAATGGATGCACCCGACTGGCAGAGAGGAGCAGAAGGGGAGGGAAGGGAGGAGGGGCAGGACTGAGGGGCACCTGGCAGGCAGCAGCGGTGCAGGATGTGGCATACCTGGAGCCTGCGGGCAGCAGGGGATCATCAGTCGGTGGCCTGCCCACCACCTCAAGGCAGGTGTTGTCATGCTGAGCTCCATTTGCCGAGCCAGCCAGCAGTCCTCCCAGGACTAGATGAGATGGCAGCACACATCAGCCCCCAGCCGCTGGTCAGCTGCAGAAGTGCACTATTTACAGCACAAGAGCCAGTCTTGCTGTCTTCTCCTTCCCCAGAGCCCTGGGAAGCAAGCTTATGACGCATGGATTCATTGCATGTAATCCACCCCTCCTCTTGGGGCAAGCACGCAGGGGCCCGGCTCCAGCCACTGCCTCTGCGCCAAATGAAAGGAAGAAAGAAGCTTACTGCGCCAGCTGGATGCAGAGCCAGGAGCAAGGACATGCTGGCAGGGAAAAAAGCTGTCCCTGGGCTACCTGCAGCTGAGTAGTAGTATTAAGAGGGGATAAAATAACTGGATCAGCTTTTATTCAGTTCGCTCATCTAAACAAGACGTGTAAACAAGAAGTGACAAGGAACTGGAGGGGTGTGGCACACACACCCAGAGTTGTGCACCACTGGGGCAGAGGCTGAGCTTGCTGGAAGAGCGGACATCTGCACTACCCCCTGCCTGGAGGTGGGGGCAGGGATGCCACCCATGCCTCCCAGAGAGACTGGGATCTCTACAGATGGTTTTCATTGACCTTTTTTCTTAAGCTGTAGTATCAGCATTTGCTGGTGTTGGGATCCCCGGAGGCATTGCTGCTACAGAGCAGCCCTTTGGCTGGGTGGGATGGTCCGACAGGCTGGCAGCCAGCTGGCGTGCCCAGTTTGTTGCAGAAGAGGTCACCTGTTCCTCGTTTTTTGTAAACCTGAGCTGTTTCTTCCCCAGTTCCCCACCTCCCCCAGCAGTCATTGCGGAGGAAGAGGGATGCCCCGTGGGTCAGTGACTTGACCCTCTTGCAGGTTCTTGACGAGCTGAGCCAGCCAGCGCTTTGTGGTGGTGTCATCCTTCAGGACCTGGGCGAAGGTGGTGTCCTTCAGCTGGTCAGGAAGGCACTGCCTGAGAGCTTCACGTGCCCTACATCAAGAGACAAGAAACGGGGCCCAACAAATAAACTCACAGGGGCAAGGGGGGAGCAAACCCCACTGGGGACACAGCATTCCTTTGCCTGGAGGTCTCCCTGGCAGAGTCAGCCAAGGAAAGCACTGAGCAGCAGCACCGCAGCACGTGGCACTCAGCCAGCCAGTGCAGCTCCCACTCCTCATGCTAAAACCCAAAAAGCCAGCCCCTGCACTCTGACACCTGTCAGTCAAGTGATGCAATGCCAGGAGATGCCAAAGCAACAAATGCACACCCAGCAGCTTTGGGCAGAGCTGCTGGTCAGCAGGAGATCAGTTTATATTCTCTCAACTGAATTTCATCTGTTGGCTTCTACTGCTAACAGCTCGTTTGATGCAGAAGAGGGAGAGTACAGCATACCTTCCACCTCAGGCCCTCCCCTGTATGTTGTTCAATCTACATTTGAGCTCAGGCAGTTGTGAACTGCACAGATTGAATTTGCACAAGCCCTAAACAGCCTCTGTTTCTCCCATGTACCATAAATGGTACATATCCCAGGAGGGATTAGCAATAAAAACATCAAAGCAAAAAAACCCACTCATCTTCTATAATGAGCTAAGGCTGGCAGACCAGGAACTTTGATTCCCACTAAGTGGGCACTGTGGAAAAGAACTGTGCTTCCAATGGAGAAGAAGCCCCTGCCCAGACTCCTAAAATGTTTACCTGGGGTTATCGGAAAGGCGAAGGTAGCAGCGGACGACATGTTTCAGCAGCCGTGCCGATGGCTCCTTGGAGAGCTGCAGGACCATTTTACCCTGTTTGACAGAGGCCAGTGCCACCAGTTAAAGTCTTTATAAGAACAGCTTCACGATCAGCAGAGACCGGGAAAGGCCATTAGATCACTCACTCTGGCTTCCCACACAGCACGGCCCATTAACTTTCATCTGGATACCCCTGCATGGAGCCTGGCACTGCTTGCCAAGATGCCTTTGAGAAGGTATGACTTGGAAAGGGTTCTCCCAGCAGCTTAGGGAAAGCTCGTCTCATCTCTGTTTGGTTTTTACCTTCCCAGGACTGCTTAGTGGTCCAGCTCTTTGTGAGATTAAAGAGAACCTGGGGTTTCCACCACTTGTGGAAGACAGACACATCCCAAACACTTTGATAAGCTCAGGTTGAGTCACCCTGTGAGGTGTGTTCCAAGCTCTGCAACACTCCCTATTCTCATCTGCATTCCCTTCATTTCAACAGCCTTTTAAGAGTGTTTTAAGTTTATTAGCAATAGCCTGGGAAGCCATGCCAAAAGACTGAGCTAACCCACACCACATGTAGCAAGATCCACATCTGGTCTTAGCATGCACCCAAGAGTTGCATTTTCTCTTTCTGCTACATCCCTCATGAAGCTGCTCCAGGGAGGCAAGGCCAGGGCAGATCTCCCCGGCCCAGTTTCCGTTCCTCACACTAAGTAAGACTTTGCACATGGCTGCACCTTTGAACACGCCCAGCCAAGTAAACAGTGCAGCTGCCTTCACACGCCTGCTCTGAAGGAATTTAACAGACTGCTTACTTGTACTGACTTCAGGAGTCAATCAAATCTGCCCAACAAGTTGGGTTTTTTCCTGTAATCTACTTTGGCTAGCACTAACCATTTTCCTCATTAGCCAAAGTCACCTGTATTTGGATATCCAGGCAGTTAGCAATTAGTAGGTCCCCCTCATCTGCCCTTTTTCAAGCTTCCTGTTCTCAGCAATTCCCCAGGATACCAATATTTCTTCAAAATAAAGAATTGCAAACTCCTCCAACATTTCCTGGATGGAAAATACTAACTTCCTCTTTTAAAAGCATCTAATACTTGTGTAAAATCTTACTCAGTTACCAGCAGACACAAAAGTAAATCATCACTCTCATGAGATAGGAGGTACACTAAACTGATTTTTGAAAGCACTGTGGAATATTGATCCTGTCAGTGCTTCACCCAGTGATAGGACTATACCACAGCTAGGACTTCTTCCATGCTAACACTGCTTTACACACCCACGTCCTTCTGTGTTCAAGGAACAATTCATGTTTGGGAATGGTATGGTCTCCTTCCTTCCCCTATCCCAAAGTTTCTAATTACATCCTTCACTTTGCCATCGAGCCAGATGTACTTCTATCAAAGCTGATTTTTTTCTTGAATGCAAAAATCATGTCACATTAAACATTATGGATATCAGCTCACAATCATTCATATTTTCCTGTTTGTGGGTGAATTAGGAGGTAACGTTTTCTTTACATTTGCAAAAACAGACAAATAAATGTTCCTGATGACAGCACAGCATTTAGTCAGAGAACCAGCACTGCTAAGTGCTTAACTTACTGCTGCATTTTCTTCTCCTGAGACTGCTCTTTAAAAAGCAAATAAATGCATACAAAAGCATGGCAATAACTATTCCAGGGCAAGCATATGTTCCCCTCGGTGAGCTCAAAGATAAAGCTCAAGCTGGGGCTATTACTTCTGGGATGAAAAAATTATGAGTACCCAAACTTGTCCATTACAGGGAACAGGGAATGGACAGAAGTTGTCTGCTCTCTCCGTGCTCCAACACAAAAATTAGAGCATATGCAGCAGCCAGTAGGAGCCAGATTCAAAAAGGAAAAAAAGGAGAGTGGCATTCCAGGCAGCAAACAGGAAACTTGTGAAACTCCTTGGTCAAAGACACTGTGGATGCAGAATGTTTCTATGGGTTCAAGATAGGAACACTGGTGTTTACGGCACAGAAAACCCACAACTGGCCCCAGAAATCCAAAGTTCAAAGTAGCTGACAGCTGTGAGACTGTTATGACAACAAGTATCATATACTTGCCCTGCTCCTACTCCTTCACTCAACCTGCTGCTCTTTCAGCCTGTTGTGAGAGACAGAAATGGGATGTGGATTCATGATCTGAACTGTGTGATCATTCTTACACAAAATTAAATCAATTTACATTCCACCAACAATTCTGAAAACTCTTTTCCCTCTCTGGAGAGGTTTACCCGTTTTATCTTGAGGACTCAGTATGTGTTCTCTTGATATGCAAAACAGAGATATCCAGAGGAAACATGGAAGCAGAGAGCTACAGTGTCACAAGCAATTAACCAAAGAACGATTTGCCTCCCTCATCCTGTGCTCCAGCCAGACAGCAGTATAGTTACTGTTGAAGAAGCTGGCTGCTACAGTGTAATTCTATCTTTCTTAAATGCAAAAAAAAAATACTTTAAAAACAAATGATCTTACCAGTATCATGGCAACATGGGAAAACCGCTCATAAGTCTGACAGATGTATGCCAGCCCTGTGTCATCCAGGAGGATTTTCTGAAGAATAAACGTAGCAACCTAGAAAGGGGAGAAAGCAGAAAACAAAGCCTAAAAACAACTTATCTACCCTGAAAAGGGACAGCCTTTGTGTGGTGCTCTTTTCAAGGCAGCCCCAGAGCTGAAAGGCCTTTCAGTAGGCAGCAAATGCTTTATTCAGTGAAAATTAAAAGCCAAAAGAAAATGCAGGACAGTACACAATGCTTGGCATCTGTCTAAAGAAAAGAGATATAAACAAATCAGAGTGTACAAGATGACTGGGTGCAGGTTGCATAAGACAGCAACTACTGCTGGGCCACTCAAGAGCACCCTCAGGTTTTGGTTTGTTTGGTTTTTGAGAAGGTAAAAACTCCACCCAGACTTGTCCCAGCATTTCCAACAGGACAAAAGCCAACTCTGTAGGGTACCTGCTCCTGGTCAGTCAGAGATGAACAACAGAAAGTCTTCATTAAGACAAAAAAAATAGGTACCGTTTTGGAGAGTTCACTGCCAGACTCCATAATGCGTAAGCACAGGGGGATAATTTCTGTTGTCAATAAGAAATTTATCACTTCTTGCTCGTCAGTTTTCACCAAGGCGCCTTGAAGGAAAAACAAAACACAAAAATCAATAAACAATAAATTTTTTTTAAAAATCTCACCTTTCAAAGAGGGCCTGGGCTCTGCCATCCCCAGGAACCATTCAGTCTGAACAGCAGGCAGAGCAACTGTTATTCTAAATATGTTGCAGCACATGGCTGGAGAAGAAATCATTTTGGCAGCCTAAAAGTAATCAAGCTGGGTTTGGGGGTTGTTTGTTTTTCAGAAAGGGGATACACTCTTGGTTCTCCCTCAGCAGTAACACAAATACAAGAGGATCATGCCACCCACAGCAACCTCTGGGAGGAAGAAACGCATTTTGAGACACTCTTACTTCACACATCGAGAGAGAAAGGTTTGGGGTAGAAAGAAAAAAAACAGGATAAGGGGAAGACAGGGCAAATACACCTAAGTCAATAAATGACAGAAACCCAAAGAAAACCCAACCTGCACCCACCTATCCCAATGTCTAGCTGAGAGGGCTGAGGGTGAAGGCAAGACAAGTCTGCAGGTGCTTGTACTCACAGAAATATATTTTTGTATTTTTAGTCTTCAATGGGTTTTTTGTAAGTGAAAAGCCCTACACACTAAAGTTCCTACACACTAAAAGGAACTTAGTGGAATTGCCTCCACAACTGATGGAAAAGGAACAGCTGCTCCTCTTAATACTACAGGACTCAAAAGATCTCAGTATAAAGAAACCTCTGACTTTGTCATGCAGGTCTCTTTGCCCACAGCATGAACTGCTCTAACTCAACAGGAGACCACTGCTCCAGCATTAGTCTGGCTTCTTACCAATCACTCCGAGGCTCGTGAGCCGCAGGTACTCAAAGGGACGTGTCTTGCTGACTGTGTGCAGGAAGGGGTACAGGAAGAGAGGGATATGAGCTGCCAGAAAAGCTGACCTGTGGGAAAGGGAGAACACACAATGTGAGCAACAAGGAAAGCAAAGTGAGCATACAATCCAGCACTACCACACGGAGCTTTAGGCTGCTGGACACCATTGCTGCTGCTCCTTAAAAGTGTGTAACAGTTCTACCTCTGATAGAAAGGTATGAAGTAAATTCTGCACTTGGCGCAGCACAAAACCTGATCAGAGCACCTGATCTGTCAGTTGCCTGCATTGCTGCTTCCAGCTGACCAGGAACAGAGCACATGTTGTTTTTATTACCTCTTCCTGCTACCCAGACCCTCTGCTTTGTACATTCACTGTCACATTTCACTCTGCAGGCTCTCAGTGGCAAGGACAGTCATCCTCATGCATGACAGAAATACAGAGTGGCTAACTCTAGGCATCACCACAGTTTAAATGTGCACAGACACCTTTTCCCCAAGAGCCCTCACACTGTCTTCTGGCAGTAGTGAAAAATACAGACTGCAGGGAGAAACCTGGAGATTGCTCTGCTAGCAGAGGGAAGCTCTCTTGCACGATCATCCAACATACTTCTTCCATTTTCAGTGTTCAAATTTTAAATGTAAAGGTGAGTACTGTAAAACTACCCTATTTATTTGGTTATCTCATGGAGGGTTGCTGTGTAACACTGCTTCGCAGCAGCTCAAAAACAACTTCAGCTGTGCTGCTGCTCAGCAGGAACAGAAGCATGAGATTATGGATCTCTGGGTAGTATTAGCTACTGATTTTGGCTGAACCAACATCATATTTTCCCCTGCTGACATTGGCTGGGCACAGACTGAGAAAATCTGAAGTCAGACATTGGCTGAGGACTCCAGAAATGGCTCTGCTACTGCTCCCTTACCTCACACAGTCTCTGGGAAGGACAGTCCTACCCATTCCGCCCTTTCAACAGCTGGTCTAAATAACTGTAAGCTGCTTGTCTAAATAGATGTAAGCTCATTAAAACAAGGATCCTGCACACAGCACTCAACACAAAGGTGCCCTTAGCTCTGGTTGACCTTCCAAGAGATGTCACAACAGAATGTTTTGGAAATTTGCAAAACCTTAGGATGATCCAAGGGATGCAATGCATTTAGGACCACCATAAAGCTGTATCCTGATAATCCATACAAACAAGTGAAAGCAGCAGGCAGCTGTCTATCTACCAGCTTAATGGTCTGTTTCACTTCTCTAGGTAAAAGAGAAAGGAGCTTATGTACTTCTGGAGTCAAACACACAGGCTGAGCTGTCAACATCAACACCTCTGAAAACTCACACATTTGGAAATGCTTACCTTGTTTCAGGGTGTGATGCAACACACTGCAGCAGAGCTAAAGCATTGCAGACTCTGTTGGACTGATGGGCTGTCAAAGTTGGAGGGTTGATGGATGGGTAAATATTTACAATTTCCTAAAATTTAACAGATATAGAGAAGTTAAAGGAGAAAAATACCAGAAAGCTACCCCAAAGCACATGCCTAGCAAGGAACTGTGGTGACAGCAGATGACAGTCTGCTTTCACCAAGCATCGCTTTGAAGTTACAACGGAGCCACCATGCTGCCCAGCAAAGGCAGAGCTGGGTCAGAGTCAATTTGATAAGGAGTCACAGGAATGCATTCAAACCCTTAGTTTCAGTAAAAAAAGGTTCATTTGATTTCTTGGCTCTTTACTACTGTAGACTCTGTTTTGAACTTCCAGATCAAAGAGGCATCCTAGAGGCAGAGGACACCCACTCTGCTCACAGTGTAGCTGCTGGTACTCTTCTAACTCAATGCAGGGGAAGCAGCTGAAGCTGAGAAATCCAATTCAGAAATCTGCCTGCTTCCAGCTATAGCTCCCTTGTAATTTTCTTTGCTTGTCAGGGCCACTCAGTCAAGAGTTTGACACTGCCAATGCTGCACTCTTTCTTTCCTCCTTGGAAAGAAACTACCAGATTTGGCATTGAGTGATAGCCAGTCATCAGCTGTAGAGTGGTTTGCCCAGCAATAAGCTGAGCTGCTCAGTTTCACATGAAATGCAGGTACCTTCCCTTGCAAGGGTATCTGCAGCAGTGAGCAGCATTTCCCTGCTGCCTTCCCAGGGGGGTCCCTGCAAGGGCAACCTTCTGACCAGAAAGTACACTCATGCAAAAGAAATCAAACCTGCAGTCTTAGGAGAAAGACTGCTGTGGTTCTGCTATGACGTCGTATTAAAATAAGCAGAATGGGATCCACAGGGAGCTCATACATCCAAGAACTTTCCTATTCTCCTCCCAACTACGTAAGCTGTCTAATTAGAAATATCAGTCTCACACGTCACCTTGATAATGATGATTAACGGCAAATGAGCTTCCCACATCTGCTCTCCTCACATGATCTATCATAGATCATATTCCCAGCAATGGCAGTAAGGGATCCCACCAGTGCCTCCCCAGATCCCCACCATGGACACACGAGCTCTGACACACGCTGGTGCTGCACCACGGGCAGTGTGACCCACCTGAAGGAGCGCTGCGATGGTGCCAAACGAGTGCCACAGCATCGGGGCGAGGTCAGGCACAGACTCGCGCTTCTTGCTCAGCTCCAGCAGCGCGTTCTCCCGTGTCTCAGGGCTGGACAGCTCATTGATCCATTGGTAAATCTTTTCACGGTCAACCTGAGCCAGCGCTGTTGGCACAGGCTGGGAGGGAGACAAGAAAACTTCAGTCCAAACATTTTATCCAGTTCTCAACCAAACCCTTTCCACAACCTGTCAGAATGGCCAAAAAGTGCTCAAGAAACTCCTGAGTGAAGGGGTGAGAACTAAAGCTCCTTCAAGATGCCCTGGACATGGATCCATCCCTTCCTTAGATTAGCATTATCACTTCACCTATTAAAAATGCAAAGGCTTTACTTTCTGGCCCGACTTGACAAGCGGATTAAGAGAGACTGTCTCACCAAGCAGTACCTCGTAACTTCATTCAGCAATGTGAGAGCCAAGCTGCTGCCTGCCTGTGCCAGCAGAGCTCCCAGGGAGTGACAGCTATCATTTGTTCCACCTGCATTTAGCACGCATTCATTTCAAGCTTCAAGTGCAAGATTCCATTAATTCAAAGTAAAGCAGATGCTACCTTTTCCCCTCCAAAACCACCCATGACATTGGAAACTGCCAATGGGATTCACCCGATGTACATGAGAAAAATATTCATACGAATAATAGAAAAATTCTCACTACTCCAACACCAGCATGACAGGGGCCACAGCCAGTAACACCTGCTGTTTCCAATGGTTCATATTCATCCCAGGTACTTTGTCCACATGCATGGAGCTAAAAGGGAATTTTTCAAGAATGATTCTGTGCAGGATCTCAGGGTGATTTGATTACTGTTCAAAATAAACCCAGAGAAGGGTAGATCTGTATTCATAGTCAAGACCCATTTTCTACTACTCAGGAGAAATCCAGAATTTCTCTTCTGCCTCTCTTGGAACATCAGGGAAAGAACAAAATCCAGGTCAACAAGTTCTCAAAACAAAAAAATAAGGAAGGAAAAGAGAGACTGTATCATAGTTTCTGTGGAGAATGCCATGCATAAGCCTTCCAGTGAAAGTCTGTCTCACTGCTGCTCCTGAGCCAGCCCTCATGCCACCAGCCCTGCATTTCCCTGCACAGGGCAATCCCAGCTGGGAACAGGACTGTGTTTCCTTCTTTGTTTTTTAACCCCCAACTGAAACTCTTCAGGTGCTCATCACAACAGATGTGAGCAGAGCCTGTACTGCACTGACAGCAACGCTACCACCAAGCAGCTACCACCAAGAGACACAAGAGAACACAAGGCAGTTCAGGAACTGAAAGTGGCTGGAACCAAACCTGAAGCCACATGGCAGAGGCAGTACCAGAACTACCAGAGGGATGGAGAGAGACTTAAGCTTTGGCAGACACTGGCAGAGCTTTCTGTTTCTATTTCTGTGAAGGTTTCCCTCCTCTGTTCATCCCCATTTTATATCCATAGTCATGTCCCCAGAGATTCCTTCCCAGCTATGGGACGTCTCTCTCCCCCAGCCATTTTCATCATATTATTTAACATAAATGTTTATATATAAGCCAGTGTAGTGTTATCAATCCCTGTACTCAAGGGTTCAAATACCTTTTTAGATGTTTATCTTTTCTCCTATCCTCTTTTTTTTCTCACTGTTGTGGTTTAGGAATGGTATTCTCCAATGTAGTGCTTCCACTGAAGCCCCTCCAAACCACAAGCCTCACTCATTCCCCCCTCTGCCTTCAGGCTACTGCAAAAATTAACCCTGTCCTGGCCAGAACCAGGACAATCACCTACTCAATTTTAAATTTTATTTTTTTTTTTGCAAAATCTCACACTAAATTAGTAATCCTGACAAGTTTATTGTGGCCTTACAGCTGTGAGTGCAATTGCAATGGCAACTTCTACACTGAAGCTGAAAAAGAGAAGAATCAACAGAGCTCATTTGTTTTTATTTGGGGTGCTGGAGTGACAAGCAGTGTACAATAATGTTGTTATATTTGCATTATCTAAAGCTTCCATCTATTTTTCTAGACTCACTGGAAGTTTCAGTTCCTGTAAGCTTAAATACATCGGCCCTTTACAAGCACAATCATGTGCTTGTGATCCCTAGAGAACACTAAGTAGATTTTCCACACAATTAAGTTTATGATGTCCAATATCTGCCTTAGCCAGAACAAACTGCTTTTCACAGGCTCTATGGTTGCTCCTTTCGCTTTAGTTTAAACAGAAAAACATATTTTTTTCCTAATTTCCTACTTCATTGCTGTTTCTTCTTCTAAGACCCAAAATTCTGGGGAACTCTGAGGGCCACACAAATCCTGTAAGCTCCAAGACAGAACCCTGTCAGGCAGACTTTCTTTTGAACACAGGGAAAGTGGAATTTACCAACAGTATCACAGCAGAAATTCACCAGCCCTGCACACACTATGAAAGATCTTGTAACACCTTCCTCAGGAGAAAAAACATTACCTCAAACATCCATGCCCGATTACACCTCCAACAATCACATAACAAACAGATTTATGCAAATGGCTCTTTCTTCCTAACTGAGCAGTTGCTGATACACACACTGGTAGAAGCACCGGTCAGCCAAAGCAGAATGTTGACTAACTGGATACATGTGCTTTTTCAACTATTTTGACAGATCATCTGCTTAAAAACAGCAAAATGAACTTTGAACTTCCATAGCAGGAAATCAGGTGATTTGATATGGGCTTTCATTGCCTTACAGCTATTTACAGCTTGTTCTCAAGCACTCTGTGACGTCTCCAGGTCTGAAACAGAAGTGTCAGCTATGCCATCACCAATGCTCTGGCTCACTACAGCTTTATCACAACAGTGTTCACACCCCTGAAGGGACTCCTGAGCCAATTCATGGCCCTACTAAGAGGTAATGTTATTTACCACAGGTCCTGAGCACACTTCCAGAGCCAAACTCCCTTCCCTGTCACCTTTAGTCTAACCATATTAACTAACTGTGGTGGGAAACATTTAAATACAGAACTACCTGGTAGCACAACCTAGGCATAAATTAAACATGCATTCAAGTCAGTCCTGAAATAAAGCTGACCTCTATTCCTAAAGCAAATTTTTTTCTTAAAACTGTCTTTAAAAAAGAGAGGTGGCTAGAATACATACCGTGGATTAACGGGAGATACATATAACGGGGGTCCTTCGTGCATTTCAACAAACACTTAGGAATTAGATTGCTATAAAAATGTAAATGCTCATTAAGAGAGTTCACTGTGATCTTGCACACCCTTCTGTGCTCTGAAATGCATTACTTTAAATCAGAATATTTGCCAGCACTCCAGGAAACAGCTGAAGTCACGAGCACTTGAACAAAGTGGGAAAACTTAAAACGTTCTCTCAACTCCTGTTCATCGAACTTGACTCACTCATTAGCTTGTTAGTTCAAGCAGACCCTTGAGCTAAGTTCATTTGAAACAGCTCTAACTGCTGGTTTTGCAATACACCTCCCAACATACACAAGACTCAGTCAGCTCTAGGAAGTCTCAGACACACCATGAAGGTGCATTTGGAGAAGTGAAAACCAAACCACAAACCCACTCTGGTGGGAGATCCGAGACAATAATCACATCCTTCAAACTCAGCTTCCACTTTTGAACCCACCCAGGCCAAGACACAGTTCCACTCCGACCAGCCAGAACATCACACACCACATCCCACTTAAGCAGTCTCCTGAAGGGGATAAGAGTAAGCACCACCTACAGATAGCACTGCACTGCACGGTACTGGGGGAAAAGAGAAGCAGGAAGAGGCAGCCTCTGCCTTTCCTTCTGCTCACCTGCTGCCCTAAGGGTCTTTTTCTTACCTCTTCTTTCCCTCTGCAGTGAAGACCAGAAGTAAAACAGCTCCTCAGAGGGCAGAAGAGGTGGGTGGGCATGCAGGAAGTGTCACGAATGAGTGTTTTAACGTCACTTGAAGAAGAGGGTCTACTCTGAACCTTGTGAGGGTCTTCCTTATCATTCTTACTCTTACCCTTTTCTTCCTCGCCCAAGCCCCTGGGAATAATTTTAGGGGTTAATTTTTGGTTGTAGGTTGATTGATTTTAGATTTTTGTTTGCTTTTTCTCCCTGTACTTTAACCAGCTAGTGAGCAGTAGAGCAAACCTTGCCAACGAACTCTGTCGCACTTCTGGTCTTACATTAAACCTGCTTTTGTCGATACCTTTGCTGGCGATTCTTTAAAGTGACATCAAAACAGTCATTCGCGACAGGAGGCACCCAGACGCAGGGAGGGAGGGAAAGCCCTACGCAACGCACACCAGGCGGAGGATGCAGAGCCGGGACACCCAGCGGGGAAACCC